GACGAGGGCGGACAAAAGCCCACCCACATCTTCCCCCTCCCCATGCTACAGCTCATGAGTTGCAAGCTGCATATAATGAATTCGCTGTTCTACTCTAGACAATCGACCACCTAAACTACGACCAAGTCGAGCACACAATGGAATGCCACACACACAAAAGACCCAAATCAACACAAAGCCAAGGGCTATCCAAGTGAGCCATCCCCAATCTATCCAACTTAATAGCCACTGCCAAACGGACTTGAAGATGTCATCGATCCATTGCAAATCTCCTCCCTTAGCCTCAATCTTTTTTAGCAACTGTCTTTGCAATTCTGACCACCGAGAAGCATTGATTACCACTTGCTGATAGTCTGCAGTGGAGAGGCAACAAAAGGTAAGGTTGCGAAGCACTAAGGACCGGCATCCTCCAGAGACAATCACCTCCGCTAATACCTGAATCATTTCCTCATGTGCCTGCAATATCCGCTGTATGGCAGTAGTAGCTCGCAATGTTTCATTTCCTAACCATGTTAGCGTACGATCCGTTTTTAAGAGCTGACATGCTAAACCTTGAAGTGCCTGTGTGTTCCGTTGAACCCCTACTCCAGGGAAGAGACCTAACAGAAAGGCATCTCCCAAGCCTGTCCAGATAGGGACCTGCCACTGTGGATTCTGAATTAACTCATCACAATTGTCTGCTGTCCACGTCTGCTCTACTGCTCTGGGATTCCTCCCTCTTGCAAAGATAGCTGGTCGAGTCACAGCTGGCAAACATAAGCGAAGCTGGCCAGGCCTTATACAGCGTACTATAAGGCCATCACAAAGCAACACATGGGGTGGTCTAAGACAAAAGGCAGCCCCTGGCATCAGTACAGCCATGCTGTGATTAGTACCATTCCATGGAAAGTGGAGGCGGGCTCCCGGGCCCACCATCCGTGGATCGCCTAGCAGAAGCCAGGATTCGGAGTTAGAATTGTTGATCTTTTCTATCGACCAAGGAATCTCATCAGGCCAAAAGTAGTCTGCTATAGAAGCATTCCATAACCAGTAGAGCGCCCTAGTATCGTTTCCAAGGTACCAGCGGTTCTGCATTACTCTAAGTGAGCCTGACAGGTGCCAAAGCTTACTAATAGTACCGTCGCCCAAAGACATGTTATACGGTACAGAAAAAGAAGCGTTAGAAGTCTTCAGATAACCTATGCAACGATCTAGAGAACAGAGCCACTGTGCCCCCGGTAAATCTTCGCCTACTGGGTCATGTGGAGGGGCCCACCCTTCCAAGGGGGTAGATGCGTTACACCTAACCCCTAATCTGACATCTCCAACCCAGTTTGCTAGCTGATCTTCACGGCCTCCAGCTTTATTGGCAGAAAGCTGACAAGGCCAAGGGGGTTGTGACTGTAAAGTCACGGGAATCACTAAGTTACAACTCGCACCATTCATGGGTACACAAACCTCCCCAAACCTTCTCTTTGATGCAACCGCACGCAATTGATCCATAAATGTAGCACTAACACCTTGCAGAAGTACTACACCAATCATCAACAAACTTCCCCATATCCATCTACTTGGTCGTCCTTTTCGCCCCGGCACCCCAAAGATAGTTGTCCATTTCCACTGTCCATCTTTCGGTGGGGATAGCCCAATGGGTGGGGAAGAAGACTGTCTGCTCACACTCATGTCTCCATCCCCAGGCTCCAGCAAGGGCTCCAGCTCGGATGTTTTCCTGGAGCTTCGCCCTATCCGCCATCGGGAGCCCTTCATCATGATGAATGCGTGCGATACCAGATAGCTGGTGGAGATACTGTTGTTGGAACGTCTCCAACTTATCCGATCACAAGGAGTGCAGCAGGTCGGGGTTCACGAGCGACAAAGTCCGCCCTGCTGACACTCACGTCGACCGGCGCGCTGATACCTGAAAATCACAAGCAAACTTTTATGCATCGAGAAGGCACCCATCGAGTGTGCCCGTCCTCTGACATGACCGCAGCATAGCCACGGCCGATTGTGACAAGTCGCCAACCATCTTGCCATAACCCTGAGGAGAGATCTTTCACTCTCACGGGCGGACCCACTGGCAAGCTGAGGGACCCCCAATGACGAGCAATGGGTGACCCAGAAGGGGCAGAACGGGCAAAAAAATTGAGGGCATAAAGTGCTCTCATTAAGAGGGTTTGCTGGTGTTCTCGTGGTACCCTCCCACTCCAACCTTCCCCCTCCCCAAGCACTGTTAAACGAGCTTTGAGAGAGCGGTGAGCTCGCTCCACAAGGGCTTGGCCTTGCGAGTTGTAGGGGAGGCCGTGGGACAGTTGAATATTCCAGCGCCGACACCACTCCTGCGTTCTGTTTGATGTAAATGCGGCACCATTATCTGTCTTAATCCGCTGCGGCCGGCCTAGAAAGGCTATGACAGTTGACCAATGTTGAATGGCATGTCGAGCTTTAGTACCAGCATGCTGCGTTGCCATAATACAGCCACTGAAGGTATCTATTGTCACTGCTAACCACGGCACAGGCCGAAATTGGTCATACAAGGTAAAGTCAGTCTGCCATAGTTCATTTGCCTGCAAACCACGCGGGTTAACTCCGGCAAGCCACAAGGGCGTCTTCTGACAATAAGGGCACATGCTAACAACCTCTTTAGCGCGAGCCAGCGGGATATTACATTCTTGAGCCAAAGCGTGCGGGCCAATATGCAAATGCTGATGCAGGTTCTCTGCCTCCTGCACCGTCAAGACTTCTTGAGCGGCTAGGTCTGCTTGCTGATTGCCCTCAAAATATCCCCCTGTAATTTTCTGATGTGCACGCACATGGGCGATAAACAATGGTGTTGTTCTCTCCATTAAGGCTTGGTATAGCAAAAGAGCTATCTTGGTGCCTGGCCAGCCAGGGGAAGCCATACGTTCTACAAGTGCTGCCACATAAGCGGAGTCAGTTACTATGTTGACGGGGGAGTCAGGAAGAGCGCGGCAACCAAGTGATACTGCCTCAGCTTCCAGCTGCTGAACAGAGGCGTCTGGAACCGTTTTCTGGACCTTCTTCCAGCCGCCCTCGGACTGCCACACCGCCACGGCGCGGTGTGTGAGAGACGAAGCATCAGTGAAGATAGTTGGCCCTTGAACAGGAACCTTAGAAATCTGTGGGCCTTTCGGCCGCAAAGAACGTAGGGCAGGCCAAAACTCAAGAGTAGCAACAGGTTTGATAATATGCGTCAAAGACTGAAGAGACGCAAGCAGATAGTCATCAGACTCAGCCAACAGGGACCATTCTTGCTTGGTATATGGGACAAGGATTTCGTCTGGAAGCTGTCCCCATATCCGTTCACATGTTCGTCGTCCTTGCAAAATCAGCAGAATGATAACTCGAAGTCGGGAAGTCCATGCTCTATTTAATCGAGTTGAGCTCAACCAAAAGAGCGGGGCCAATCCCGGATCAGACCGTTGGGCAAGAACGCCTATGCCACCTGCGGCAGTATCGGTGACCACTAGGCAAATCGGCTTCTTCGGGTCCCATCGGTGCACACTGCTCTTATTCAGTTCCTCTTCAATTTGATATAGGCTGCTACGAGCTTCAGGCGTGAGTTCACACGGCTCCAGGGCCTCCATCTTGCCTTTTAGCAAATCAAATAATGGGTTCAATTGCTCAGGACGGATTGACAACATCGGTTTTAGCCACTGGATACACCCTAAAAGGCGTTGCAGATCATTCACCGTGTGCACCTCTGTGGGCAGTTCCACGGAGCGAGGCACAATAGATTGAGGCTGTAATCGCCATCCTAGGTATAGAATGCTGGAGCCGCGCTGTGACTTCTCGTTGTTAATATAGAGACCTGTCTTTTCACACTGTTTAATCACCGCTGATTCAAGTTCTGCCAATTCCTCCTCCGTGGCCATAGAGAGCAGGAGATCATCCATATAGTGGATAATAATTGCACTGGAATATTGAAGTCGCACAGGAGCAAGCACTTGAGCAACCACCAGCTGGCAAATGGTGGGTGAATTCTTCATTCCTTGCGGAAGCACTTTCCACTGATAACGACGTGCGGGCTCTTGCAAATTTGGCGACGGCACAGTGAAAGCAAATCTTTCACGATCTCGCTCGGCGAGTGGTATTGAAAAGAAACAGTCTTTTATATCCAGGGCAACCACTGGCCAATCTTTGGGTATTGAGCCAGGCCATGGTAACCCTGGCTGCAGTGCACCAAAATCTTCTATACAGTTGTTCACCTGCCTCAGGTCATGCAGCATCCGATACTTTGATTTGTCCTTCTTCTGGATTACAAAGATGGGAGAGTTCCATGGAGACAAGGACGGTTCAAGGCGACCATCCGCCAACAAATCTTGAATGATGGAGTCCAACGCCGTCAGTTTCGGGAGGGAGAGGGGCCACTGTTCTACCCATATTGGCCTATCTGTTTTCCATCGCAATTCAATCGCCCACGAGTCTGTCATTAGTAGAACAGTGGCCCTTAGGCTAAATTTGTCACTTGGCACCGCAGCTGGCCAAGTACGTCACGGCCAATCAAATTCGTCCCAAAGGAAAGAATGTAGGGGCAAAAGGTAAAAGATTCTCCTTCAATATCCCCGATCAGTGGTACTTCACTACGACTTGCAGCCGCAACGCCACCGACTCCCATTACACCAGCAGACTTCTCAAGGGGCCATGATACTGGCCAAAAACGCTCATCTATGACAGATACATCAGCTCCAGTGTCGATCATAGCCGACAGGACGACGGAGGATGGTCCTTGTTGACAAGATAAGTTCTTTACCCGTAATCGCACAGTCGGTCGGTTTTGAAGGTCTACCACCAGGGCGACAGACGGGAGGCGAGGCAGGGATCTGGATCTTTTTCTTGCAGAGTGTTGACTGTTGGTTGTTGACGGGGACGAGTTTCCGCAACTTTCGCGACAGCCGGCCCCCGTCGCTCCGCTGTCGCCTGCCCGTTTCCCGATACCTTGCCCTTCCTACATTCTCTAGCCACATGGCCAATACCTCCGCAGGACCAACACTTGACACCTTGCCTATTTCCCATGGGTTCTTTCCTTGCTCTCTGGACTAAGGGGCAGTCCCGTCTAAAATGTCCTGTTCTCCCACAATGGAAACAATTTCCTTGCACTCGCTGCTGATTTACTAATGCCATGGCCAAAGCCTGTGCTTGAGTCTGAGCCATACCTTCCTGCTGTTTCTGTAAGACCCATTTGATCAATCCGCCTATATCCGTATCTTGAGGGGCAGTTGCCAACAGCTGTTGGGTGATGACATTGCCTTGTTGCTTCAGGCAATCTCTCATTATCGCTCCTTTAGCAGCCTCTGGGAGATTAGCCCTGTCGAGCGCTTTCTTAACTCGATCACAAAAGGTTAAAAAGTCTTCCCCGAGACCCTGTTTCACTTTAAGCCATGGCTCCCCTCTAGGTTCTAGCCGGGCCAGGATACTGTATGCCTGTCTAGAAGCCTCACAGGTAGCTCTTATCTCCCTTCCCCGTAAACGCGTAGCCTGTTGTTGGGGGGTTACTGTCCTAGGATCAGTTCCCTTGAGATCTGCTAAAGTGGAACCTCGTAATGGGTCATGTGGATCATTTGCAGCTCTAGCTAGGCGAGCTTGTAACTGTGCCGTCCACTCTGATTTCCACAAGCCAGCCATAGTAGGAGGAAGTATACATCTTGCCAACTGTCTTAGATCCCATGGAAGCAGCCCAGAACTGTGGAGCTGATCCAATAGCACACTTGCTGATGGACCATCAATACCATCTTCAGCTATAGCCGCCTTTAATTGAGACACTACCTTGGAATCCAACGCTGTCCACTCAACCTGTCCTCCAGGTAGTTGTTTAACTGGAGCGCAGATTGGAGGCAATTGTAATGTAAGGCCGCCAAGCTGACACTCAGTGGCAATAACCCTCCAATCGGTAAGTGGTAGCGCCGCTCCATCTTTGTCCTGTTCCCCTTCCGTGCTCTCTCTACCCCTTATCAAATGGTTTTGTTTCCGCACTTCCTGCCTCAGCTGTTTAAGTATCTCCTGAAGAGCCCTCCCTCCCTCGGCTCCTCCCATTTCCTGCTTAATAGCCTCCTTATCTTTCCTCCTTATACGGTCATTCTCTGGATCTCTCGTTCTCATTTGCTCAAAGGATTCGTTCTCACTCCAGTCTAACTCCTCCCCCTCTGACCTAGAGCGAGATCTCGATTTTTGCCTTAAAGGGCGACCTGGTATCCAGTCTTCGGTATCTGACTCCTCCCTTTCGGTGCTGGGCGAGCGCCATCTTACTCTCCTTCGACTACGTCCCTCGCGCCCCTGTACACCCCCCTGTACACCCCCCTGTACACCCGGGGCAACATCCAAGAGTTTGCGCAGCTCATGCAACTCTTCCCATGGGTACGCTGGGGGGGCAACTGGTTTTTGCTTCTCCTCTAACAGCTGTTCTGGCTCCTCCAACATCGGTGGAGCAGTGGGAATTTCCCTAAAGTCACTCTCCGACTCGGAATACTCTTTCCTAGGCTCTCTCCACCCTCCACCCTCTCGTCCTACCGGGCAAGCGACAGGAAGCTCCTGGGGAGGACAGTCCTCTTGCTCGGTGTTCGGAAGACCCTCTTCTTGCGATGTAACCAGCTCTCCAGCTTGATGCAGCCCCGTCTGCACCGCCACAGACGCAGGCAATCCTAAGGTCTGACGCGCCTGCTGCCAAGCTCGTTTTTCTTGTTCCGCCGCTTCCAGAACCTTCATAATCAATCCCCAAGTCTGTAATTCTTCTCCTTTACCCGCCATTGCTCTCTTCGTCAGTGCAGACAGGCATGCCTGCCACTGATCCCGGCACAGAGCATCCGCCGGCACTTTAATCACTCCCTCTTTCAGGAGCCGCTCTAGGCACGATCGCACCTTCTTCGATCCCACAGAGATCTCACTGTCCCGAGCCAGCGCCTTAATCACGCGCACAGTCACTTCCATCGGTGCACCTCACACGCCCCGGAGGGCCACCTGACAAGTATCACGTCGGGGTCACCACTTTGTAGTTTTATTGTCGTTCGTGTACTCACCAGGTCAGGGACTCGCCACCCTGGGCCATTAACCACTCTGACACTCATGGAGTAGAAGCAGCAAATGGCGTTTATTGCGTACCGTACATTGAATTTATAGAATGGTAAGAACCCGCCCATTTCTGCAGTACCGCCTTCATTTCCTATTAGCAAGCACCTCCCCGATGCCGTAGGACGAGGGCGGACAAAAGCCCACCCACATACATACAGGTGCATTTTACATTAAGCTGTATTGCATTTTAAACATCTGTGTTTAAAATCCATATTAAAAAAGCCTAGCACTAGCTCCCTGCACCATAAATTGAGACCTTCCAATGCTGAGACTGGAATCAAATCTCTCATTTCCAGCCTGAACGCTTTCATCACTAGATTATTTTACAAAATGCAATAATTAGCACCACTGCCCCTTGGTCCATGCAGATACTACCCATTTCCTGTCTCTTCCCTTCTCTCTGGGTGGAACAGGCAGATAGCTGGCTTAATCAGACAGAATCACCACCGGCTGAATGCCCCATAGCTCTGTATATAGTCAGTGGAGAAAAGGAAATGCCTCCGTTACTGAGGCCAGAGCCTCCCTCAGTAGAGCCTCCGTCTGTCTATTCATGGTACAGAGAGCTTAGATGATGCGATTAAGCAGACAGCGTTGGGACTTGCTCTGTACCAGGCACTAAAAATTTCGGTGCAGCAATTCTTGATGTAAGTATCTCCATTTACTTGTTTCTGTTTCTCCTCCCTCTTTCTCAAAGAGGACAGCTGAAGCACCTGAAAGATAATAAGATGCTTCTGTTCACTGGCAATGTAATCAGATCCTAATTAAGACATAACATGGAGCGATATCAAGAAACTATTTTGATGGAAACTGGGCTGATCAGAAAGAATTGTTAGATACCTGAAATTGATGGATGGGGTTCTACCCACAATTTGTCTCCCTTCAAAACATGGCTAACTTTTCATTAAGGAGACATTCTGATACAACTGAAGTCTATGAATAATACTTAATTTCTTTTGGGACTGAAAAATGCAGAAGCATTCCCTGAGGAGCTTGCCTGTATTGTACTTACAGGAGTTAATGGAAATCTTTTATGGAGTAAATAGTAAACTATTTTTCCCTGTTTTCTTAGCTTTAGGTTACACTTGGTTCATATTTTCAAGGTCTTTCCTATAATCCTGGAGGACAGAAAATAGTATAAAAAAAGAAAGAGTCTCATTATGTCTAGGAGTTGATACTTTAATAAATAGACCAAATATTGAGAGGGATGACAGTATTACTGTCTTTTCCTTTGTTTGGGGCAATTCACTTCACCTGCTTCTGCCTCAATAGTCTTGTAAGACTAAAGCGAAGACAACTTAAACATCTCTAAAATAAGGCATTAATTCTGTTCAACGGCAGTATGTTCAAGGCCTGAATTGACACAGAGGGATCTCACGGTGTTTAAATGAAAAGCAGAGAAACTAGATGATACCACAGAATAGAGAACACTAAAACTCATAAGCTGCTGCTAATAATTCCCCGGGCACAGATAACTCAAGGAGAGTGCTCAGGGAAGCTTTAGTATACTCCTGAGCATTGCTTCGCATGGCCTGTGCTCCCGCATCGGGGAACATGATCTGACACAATTATGTACAGTCCCCTCTTTTTGCTTCCCAGGAGCTGCATTTCCCTGGAACCTTTCAGACTTCCTTACTGATATTGAGGTTTAATTTTCCTACTATTTTATGCAGTAATTTTTTCTGTATATCACTAGTTCTTATCATGGATAACATGGACAAACTTAGATGTTACACTTCTCTAAGGAAGCCACAACAGTTTCCTAGCTGTTAACAATATGTGCTTTAGCAGATAGGTTTGTTGTTTGCTGACCCAGCAAGAAAACCCAAATTAATTAGATGTCAAATCAAAGTACAGACCTATTTTTTAGTCATCCTGGATGTCTTGTGAATTTCTTCTTCTAGCACCTTGTCCAGACTGGTGTTCCTGCAGCTCAGTGCAGATCCTGGCATGACTGAGAACAAAATGCTACAGAATTGTTCTGAAATGCACATCAGACTGACAGTGATGGCATTTAGGTGGCTGAAATCTTCTCTCTTTCGAAATGCTAGATAATTTTTCTTGACAGTATTACTGTGACAATAACTATTCTATGCCTCTGGTGCCTTGAGACATCGCCTCTCAGCTTATGTTTTTTGCAGTGCTGGTTTTGTGTTGCTGTGCAGCTGACATAAATATATCTGTCCTTCAAACCTCATATGACTAATGTTGATGTATGTTTTATTTTTGCTGTAACTGTTTGGTTTATAAATGTGTTTAAACTGAAGCTCTGACTTCATATTTTCACACTCTGGAAAACTGTCTTTAGCTTTTTTCCACCTTGTCTTATAAATGCTCTTAGATCCAACATAATATATATTGTGCACCTATA